CCCCAGTACGCGCGGCTGGTGCAGATCGTGGGGCAGCACGACCTGGGCGTGGGCATCACGCTGGGCGCCCACCAGTCCATCGGCTTCAAGGGGCTGCTGCTCTACGGGACCCCCCCCCAGAAGGAGAAATACCTGCCCCGGCTGGCCACGGGTGAGGCATCCCAGAATAGTCCTGGGCTTCAGCAGACAGCGCAAAACTCACACAGATGTTCCTAAAAATTACACACAGATAGTCCCAAAAATTACCCACAGATAGTCCCAAAACTCACACAGATATTCCCAAAAATTACCCACAGATAGTCCCAAAATTCACACAGATATTCCCAAAAATTACCCACAGATAGTCCCAAAACTCACACAGATATTCCAAAATATTACCCACAGATAGTCCCAAAAATTACCCACAGATAGTCCCAAAATTCACCCCAGTTAGTCCCAAAAATTACACACAGATAGTCCCAAAAATTACCCACAGATAGTCCCAAAAATTACCCACAGATATTCTCAAAAATTACCCACAGATATTCCCAAAATTCACGCAGATGTTCCCAAAAATTACCCACAGATAGTCCCAAAAATTACCCACAGATATTCCCAAAATTCACGCAGATGTTCCCAAAAATTACCCACAGATAGTCCCAAAACTCACACAGATATTCCCAAAAATTACCCACAGATAGTCCCAAAACTCACCCCAGTTAGTCCCAAAAATTCCCCCCAGATAGTCCCAAAACTCACACAGATATTCCAAAATATTACCCACAGATAGTCCCAAAAATTACCCACAGATAGTCCCAAAATTCACACAGATGTTCCCAAAAATTACCCACAGATATTCCCAAAAATTCCCCCCAGATAGTCCCAAAACTCACACAGATATTCCCAAAAATTACCCACAGATATTCCCAAAAATTCCCCCGAGATATTCCCAAAACTCACACAGATATTCCCAAAAATTTCCCCGAGATAGTCCCAAAATTCACCCCAGTTAGTAACAAAAATTCCCCCCAGATAGTCCCAAAACTCACGCAGATATTCCCAAAAATTATCCACAGATATTCCCAAAACTCACACAGATATTCCCAAAAATTACCCACAGATATTCCCAAAAATTATCCACAGATATTCCCAAAACTCACACAGATATTCCCAAAAATTACCCACAGATATTCCCAAAAATTACCCACAGATAGTCCCAAAAATTACCCACAGATATTCCCAAAACTCACGCAGATATTCCCAAAAATTATCCACAGATATTCCCAAAACTCACACAGATATTCCCAAAATTACCCACAGATATTCCCAAAAATTACCCACAAATATTCCCAAAAATTCCCCACAGATATTCCCAAAACTCACACAGATATTCTCAAAAATTACACACAGATATTCCCAAAATTCCCCCCAGATATTCCCAAAAATTCACACAGATGTTCTCAAAAACTCCCCCCAGATATTCACAAAATTCACACAGATATTCCCAAAATTCACCCAAATATTCCCAGGAATTCATTAAAATATTCCCAAAATTCACCCCAAATATTCCAAAATATTTGGTGGCATTTTCTCATTTTTGGGACTTTCTGGGTGGAATTTTCCCATTTTTGGCACTTTCTGTGTGGAATTTTCTCACTTTTGGGTGGAATTTCCCCATTTTTGGCACTTTCTGGGTGAAATGTCGAATTTCCTCATTTTTGGGTGGAATTTTCCCATTTTTGCCACTTTCTGGGTGGAATTTTCTCATTTTTGGGTGGAATTTTCCCATTTTTGCCACTTTCTGGGTGGAATTTCCTCATTTTTGGGTGGAATTTTCCCATTTTTGGCACTTTCTGTGTGGAATTTCCTCATTTTTGGGTGGAATTTTCCCATTTTTGGCACTTTCTGTGTGGAATTTCCTCATTTTTGGGTGGAATTTCCCCATTTTTGGCACTTTCTGGGTGGAATGTCGAATTTCCTCATTTTTGGGTGGAATTTTCCCATTTTTGGCACTTTCTGGGTGGAATTTTCTCATTTTTGGGTGGAATTTTCCCATTTTTGGCACTTTCTGTGTGGAATTTCCTCATTTTTGGGTGGAATTTTCCCATTTTTGCCACTTTCTGTGTGGAATTTCCTCATTTTTGGGTGGAATTCTCCCATTTTTGCCACTTTCTGGGTGGAATTTCCTCATTTTTGGGTGGAATTCTCCCATTTTTGCCACTTTCTGGGCGGCATTTCCCCATTTTTGCGTGGAATATTTGCATTTTCGGCTGTAATTTCCTCATTTTTGCCTCTTTTTGAACGCAGTTTTCGCTGATTTTCCGACCCCGTTCTGCCTCCGCCCCTTCCCGAATCCCCCCAATCCCCCGGAATTCCCGAAATTCCCGTTTTTAGGGGAGTGGATGGCGGCGTTCTGCCTGACGGAGCCGGGCAGCGGCTCGGACGCCGCCTCCATCCGCACCCGCGCCACCCCCAGCCCCTGCGGCTCCTTCTGGACCCTGGACGGGGAGAAAATCTGGATCAGGTCAGGAATTTCAGGAATTTCGGGATTTCCTCCCCCAAAGTTTTACCCATTTTCCCCAAATTTCCCAATTTCCCCCCCAAAATTCCCGTTTCCCCCCAAATCCCCATTTTTCCGCCCAGAATCCCCGCTTTTCCCCCAAAAATCCCCGTTTTTATCCCCCAAAATTCCCAATTTTTTCCTGGATTTTCCCCAAAATTTCCAAATTTCCCCACAATTTCCAAATTTCCCCCCAAAATTCCCAATTCTCCCCTCAAATCCACATTTTTTTTCCTAAATACCCTTTTTTTTCCAAAATTCCAATTTCCCCCCAAGATTCCCATTTTCCCTCCACAAATCCCCTTTTTTCCCCAAATTTCCCATTTTCCCCCCAAAATTCCCAATTCTCCCCGCAAAATCCACAATTTTCCCCCCAAATTTCCATTTTGTCCTCCAAAATCCCCGATTTTCCCCCAAAATCCTATTTTTCCCCTAATTCCCCAAATTTTCCCCAAATCTCCCATTTTTGCTCCCTAATTTCCCAATTTTCCCCCCAAGATTCCCATTTTCCCCCCAAAATTCCCGTTTTTATCCCCCAAAATTCCCATTGTTTTCCAAAATTTACCCCACAATTTCCAAATTTCCCCCCAAAATTCCCAATTGTCCCTCCAAATCCCCATTTTTTCCCAAATTTCCCATTTCCCCCCAAAATTCCCATTTTCCCCCCACAAATCCCCTTTTATTTCCAAATTCCCCAAATTTTCCCCCAAAATTCCCATTTCCTCCTCCAAATCCCCTTTTTTCCCCATGTTTCCCATTTTCCCCCACAAAATTCCCAGTTTTTCCCCAAAAAATCCCAGTTTTCCCTGCCAAATCCCTGTTTTTTTCCCAAAATTCCCATTTTCCCCCCAAAATCCCCAATTTTCCCCCCAAATTTCCATTTTTTCCTCCAAAATCCCCGTTTTTTCCCCTAAAATCCCCTTTTTCCCCTAATTCCCCAAATTTCCCGTTTTTGCTCCCTAATTTCCCATTTCCCCCCCAAAATTCCCATTTTCCCCCCAAATCCCTGTTTTTTTTCCCCCAAAATCCCCATTTTTAT